CAGATATAAATGGAGGTTAGCATGAAATATTCTCACTATACCACAAGCTTTCAAAATGCTTATGAAGTCTATTTTAATAAATTCACCTCCTCCATCACACTGAAATTTCTTAATTTCTTTAGAAAATTGATTTTCTTCCATTTTTCTAGAATTTTACAAAGACTTTAAAAAATTAAGACTTCTTTGTCAGTATCTTGTGTGACCTTATACAAACAAGACATAATATTTCATATGTTTAGAAGATTCAACAGGAGCTGGTCTCCACAAGTCACAATTAATTTTCAATAAAGGTTTCTTCTCAATTTTATTCCTCAAATCAAATGGAAGCTTACAACTTTTTCCATTGGTTACTAGAACAAACAAAATTCATTTTATTCCTACTACTAACATTGGTGCAAATATTACTAGTCAAAACATTTAAAGACTTCAAACTAGGGTTTTCTAATCTAGTATGCCAACATGTTGTCTGGTGTGTTCCAATTGTGTGCATCAATTAATAAAGGATAGATATTTCTATCTTCCAAAAAAAGAGTTCATTCCTTTTATATCTTTAGTAATCCATGTCCTTTGTCTTCTTGTCCTTTATAACAAAGTTAGTTTCATCAAATTCAAGAGTGCAACAATTATCCTTTGCAAGTTTACTAACTGAGAGTAGATTTTTATTAATCTTAGGAACTGCTGAAAAGAAAAAGGAAATCTAAGGGAGAAAGTGAAAAGAGAATAGAGCACAAGATAAGAGAAGCTACTGCCAACTTCTTTGTTTCTGGTTTTATTATGAAACTAACGAGACTTGCCTATTAAATGGGCTTACGATGAAACTGAAATACTAAAATTTAGGTACCCACTAATTACTAGTTAGCTACTAATCTGCCACTATATCTAACCTTGCTAAAATAAAGGGAACTAACTAACAAACACCTAAAGACTTGGTCAAGTATCCTTGAATCACTTCTCAACACTTTCCCTTGATTCAAACCTGCAAACTCCAAGTTGACCTCTGAAGAGCTCGTGCTTTGCTTGCGGAAGTGACTTCGCGAAGATGTCTTCTATTTGCTCATTTGTATCACAAGACTTCAAAGTAATTTCTCCAGTAGAAATAAGACCTCGTATATAGTGATAGTGAATATCAATGTGCTTTGTTCTACTGTGAAATGCTGGCTTCTTCGTAATCACAATAACAAATATATCATCACAAAAAGTCTTAGTAGCACCAGCTGGTCTTTGATTAAAGTCAGCAACAAGTCTCCTTAACCAAACCGCTTGACATGCTGCAGAGGTTGCTTCAATATATTCAGCCTCTGAAGTTGATAAGGCCACTATTTCCTGCTTCTTTGAACTCCATGAAATTGCTCCAGATCCAAGATTAAGCAAGAAACCAGATGTGCTCTTTCTGTCATCAATGTTGCCTGCGTAGTCACTATCAGTAAAGCCAGTTAGTGTTAAATTTGTTACCTTTGAATACCAAATTCCATGCTCTGTTGTCCCAGCGATATATCTCAGCACTCTCTGTGTAGCTCCAAGGTGAAGCTCGCTTAGATTGTGCATAAATCTCGATATGACTCCAACAGAGAAAGCAAGATCTGGTCTTGTATAACACAAGTAGTTCAAACCACCAACCAGACTTCTAAAATAAGTCGCATTTGCCATTTCAGAACCATCATCACGACACAACTTCTCATTAATATTCATTGGCGTAGCAGCAACTTTACAATTTACCAAAGTAAACTTTTTCAAAATATCTATTGCATATTTTCTTTGTGAAAAAAATATGCCATCAATTCTCTGTTTCGCCTTAAGACCAAGAAAATAATGCATCAGACATCTCAAAATTCTTCATCATGCAGTCCTTAAATTCAGTGACAATAGACTCACTCAAACCCATATATATCATATCGTCAACGTAAAGACATACCACCAAAAAATCATTTTTACCTTTTTGTTTTACATAAAGAGTAGGCTCATTGTTACTTCTTTCAAAACCATTCTCCTGGAAATACGAACCAATTTTGAAGTACCATGCCCGCGGCGCTTGCTTTAAGCCATAGAGTGCCTTTTTTAACCTGTAAACCTTATCTTCTTTGCCATTGACTACAAAACCTTCAGGCTGTGAGACATAAACTTCTTCTTCCAAATCACCATATAAAAAGGCAGATTTAACATCAAATTTATACACTGACAAATTTAAATTAGTAGCCAAGGCTAAGAAAGTTCTCATAGTTTCAAAGCGAGCAACAGGAGAAAAAGTCTTATCGAAGTCAATACCTTGTTGTTGGGAATAACCCTTTGCGACGAGCCTTGCCTTGTGTTTTTGGATGCTGCCATTAGCATGATACTTGGTTCCAAACACCCATTTGAGCCCAATAAATTTCTTTCCTTCTGGCAAATTTATCAAGTCCCATGTTTGAATCTTTTGAATAGCCAACAACTCCCCTTCCATAGCTTTGCACCATTTATCCTCTGTTTCAACATCTTCAAAGAAAATAGGATCTTAAACAAGTAAAGCAAAAATACAAGATATATTGTCAGCATATCTTGGATTTTGTTTCCTATCCCTTGTTGATCTTCTTAATGGAGTTGTCTCAGCTGAAGGTTCTTCTAATGTTGGAGATGTTGCTGGTGCAATTGATGAGGTAGTCGATGGACCTGCCAAAAACTGATCTGCTCCATACTCTTGATTAACAATAACGTCACAAGTCAACAATTGACTATTTGAACTTTCATTTCCTAAATTAATGTTCCAGCTTGCATCTTCATTAAACACAACATTTCTATTGACCATAATTTTGCCACTCACTGAATTGTATAACTTATAGGCTATGGATTGTGAGCTATATCCACCAAAGATACATTTTTCAAATTTTTCATCAAGCTTACATCGAGCCTGCGAATTCACCAAAGCATAAGCTATACATCCAAAGACACATAAGTGGCTTACCTTTGTCTTGTTACCTCTCCAAGCTTCATATGGTGTTCGATTAAACACTGCCTTGGTGGGTGAAATATTCAGCAAATAGACAGTAGTGGCAACAGCTTCAGCCCAAAAACACTTCAGTACATCTCTACCTTCCATCATGCTTCTTTCCATCTCGACAACTGTGCGGTTCTTTCGTTCAGCTACATCGTTCTACTCCGGTGTATATGGTGATGTGATCTCTCTGTGTATTCCATTTTCCTCACAAAAGGAACAAAATTCTTTTGGCATAAACTCACCACCTTTATCCGTCCGAAGAGTTTTGAGTCTACATCCACTTTGCCTCTCAACAAAAGATTAAATTTCTTGAAATTGTCAAACCTTTCGGACTTTAATTTCAAGAAATATATCCAACTTATACGAGTATAATAATCAGTAAAAAGCAGAAAGTATCGACTTCCTCCTAAGGACTCATAGGGACCGCACAAATAAGCATGTACTAACTCAAGACAAACAGAAGCTCTCCAAGACTTACCTACAGGAAAAACCTTTTTACTTTGTTTTCCATAAATACAGCTTTCACAAAAATCAAGATTCTCAACTTTTGGCAACCCAAAAACCATTTCCTTTTGGCTCAATAACTTCAACCCATTAACATTTAAATGACCATAATGCAAATGCCACATTCTAGTTTCATCATCTCCACTACTATTGGAAATTACTTAGTTATTATATCCATTTAGTTAGTTAGTTTGTATAGTTAGTTACATTGATTAATGTGTAGTAACTAAATTCTGTTTTAGGATATATATATATACACACACAGAATTGTACCCTTTGTAACAGATGTATGGAAATTCAGTTTGAATAAAAATTCTTTTCCTCTCAACTCTTCTTCCTCTCAACTCTTTTTCCAAATCAGAACATGGTATCAGAGCTCTTGCTACTTCAAGAATGTGCCTATGTTTTCTCTCCACTACCCCATTTTGTTGTGGAGTGTGAGGACAACTACTCTCATGAATGACTCCCAACATTTCAAACAATGCTTTACATTCACTATTGAAAAATTCAGTCCCATTATCCGACCTGATCTTCTTACCAGTTTTATTGAATTGAATCAGAACCATGACAAAAAAGCACTGTAATATCTAGAAAACATCACTTTTGAATTTCATCAGAAATAACCAAGTCATCCTAGAATAGTCATCAACAATTGTTAAGAATTATCTATAACCAATGTAGGACTCTTATATGGTCCCCATACATCCAAATGAAGTAAGTCAAAAATGACAAAGGTCTTTGACATGCTTAAAGGAAAAGGACGCCTAGTTTGTTTTGCAAGTGGACAAACTGGACAATTATTACACTCATTTATATCTTCACCTCTTTTAATCAAAGACAAAGTTTTCAACACCTTCGTGGAGGGATGTCCTAGCCTATTATGCCACTTGAAGCCTTCTGAATTAAAAACCATATTGCTTATCAATGCATTTTGTTCATCATGTGCATCTCTTTCTGGGATTTGACTGGGTAGGTAGTATAAACCATTCCTCTCTTTACCAATCCCCTTGACCTTTCCATTTGAGAGGTCCTGAAATACACAGAACTCAGGGAAAAAATTCACCGAACAATTCAACTGTCTAGTTAGCTGTGAGACTGATAAAAAATCATACTTAAAATCTGGAACAACTAACAGGTTCGTCAATGTGTCACCAATTGACACTTTACAGCTACAAATTTGAGTTACTGAAGTTGTTTGTCCATTAGGTAGATGAACATGTTTATCTAGATCTTTTACAGAAACAGAATAATCTAACTTGGTTTCTTTAGAAGTCATATGACGAGTTGCTCCTGAATCAATTATCCAATCTTCATTATCTTTTCTTTTAGCTTTGGTGTTATATACAGATAAAAGTTTATAAGTACCTGCAGTATTTGCCATATATTCTTGTGAATCCTCTTTGTTTATCATCTGCAGAATCTTGTTATAGTGATTTGGAGTAAAAGTAGGTTGTGTTGTTAGCTGATTCTCATGCCCATTCTGCTCCACCTTTGCAGCTTGGTCTAAACATCCTGAATTGTTATTCAATCACTGCACAAACTCAAATTCCTCTCTGATCTGATTATCAACATATGCATGATTTGCTTTCCCTGCATTTTGCACATCTTGAGTAGGTACAAATTTCTTCTTGAATTTCCAATCTGGTGGATATCCAATAAATCTAAAACATATATCCTTTGTATGACCATGCAACTTACAGTAGTCACATACCAAATGCAAATTCTTCTTTTGTTTAAAATTGCTATTGTTTCCTGTATTTCCATAACTTCCTCGTCCAACATACATTGCCATAGGATCATAACTACCACTAACATTCTTTCCTTTATTATATTGCATTACATAATCATCACTTTGTTAGAATACAATGACATCGACTCATAAATATTTCCACCAACTCTATTCACAGCAGTCATACGCTCACTTTCATCAGAAGTTATCATAGCATATGCTTTGTTTACATTTGGAAGACGATTCATCATCAAGATTTGGCTTCTTGTATGGCTGCATATTTCATCTAATCCCATCAAAAAAGCAAACAGTCGCAGAAACTGTAAATGATCTATATACATCTTTGATATATCACAATCACAAGTAGGAGGAGGTACCAATGCATCAAATTCGTCCCATAACACTCTCAATTTTGTGAAATAACTTGATACTGTAAGATTACCTTGATGAAGAGTACATATTTCTCGATGAAGTTTATAACTTCTTGAACCATCAACCTTGTTAAATCTTTCATTCAGATCTTCCCAAACCATGGCTGCATTAGATGCGTACACAATCCCACTCAACAACTCCTTAGAAACTGTGTTCATAATCCAAGACAACACAAACACATTACACTTCTCCCATTGTTCCCCTAATTCAGGTTTATAATCTGACTTTCCACAAGATCCAAGTACAAAGCCTAATTTTCTCTTTGCACGCAAATTTATCATCAATGACCTGCTCCATAACGAGTAGTTTTCAGTTCCTGTGAGTTGAACTGAAGTTAATACACTGCCTGGAGTATCTGAAGGGTGTAAATATAGAGGATGATTGTGATTCTTCTCAATTTCTTCAAGAGTATCTGCTGAAACACTTGAACTTGAACTTGTGATAACTTTTGATACCATGGCTCTGAAACTCAACAATGGCGGAAAATAAAAAAAACGTGAATCTGATGTTGTAGACTCACGACTCTGATACCATGTTTAAATATGTGACATATGATCATTTGTCTACTAGATATCAATCTTTTCTTAGTCATTTTTCTGAAGAAGTAGAACCTAGAACTTATGAGGAAGCAGTGAAGGATCCTAGGTGGGTGGAAGCAATGGAACAAGAGATTAAAGCACTAGAGGATAATGGTACATGGCAGATCATGAAACTACCTGAAAGAAAATCTGCTATTGGTTGTAAATGGGTATTCAAAATTAAATGTAAAGCAGATGGGATGGTTGATAGATATAAAGCAAGATTAGTTGCTAAAGGGTATAATTAAACAGAAGGGATTGATTATCAGGAGACATTTGTTCCTGTTGTGAAGATGGTTACTGTAAGAGCCATTATTGCTTTAGCATCCATAGAGATCTGGCCAATATTCCAAATGGATGTGTTTAGTGCTTTTTTACAAGGTGATTTGTATGAAGAAGTCTATATGGAATCACCTAAAGGTTTCAAGGGTGCAGAACAAAATTGTGTGTGCAAGCTAGTTAAGTCATTATATGGTCTAAAGAAATCCTCAAGACAATGGAATGCTAAGCTTACTGAGGCATTATGTAAATTCGGCTATACACAGAGTCTTTTGGATTACTCATTGTTTACTAAGATGAGTGATACAAGGATGGTAATAGTTTTGGTTTATGTTGATTATTTGCTGATCAAAGGTAGTGAACCTCTGTTAATTCAGGCTACTAAACAAGTGTTGCATAGTCACTTCAAGATGAATGATCTAGGAGAGTTGAAATATTTCTTAGGAATTGAATTCTGCAGATCAGAAAGTGGTGTAGTAATGAATCAGAGAAAGTATGCATTGGAATTACTTTCTGAGGCTGGTCCTGCAGGAGCACAACTTGTTTTTACTCCTTTGGAATGTAATGTAAAGCTCACTTCAGTTGCATATAACACAAGCAATGTTGATCCTCTTTTTCTTGATATAACTACATACCAAAGAATGATTGGTAAACTGCTTTACTTGACTAATACTAGACCAGATATTCCATTTGCAGTCAAGAATTTGAGTCAATTTATGTAGCAACCTAAACATTCACATTGGAATGCTGCTTTGAGAGTGATTAAGTACATTAAAGGGAGTCCAGGTTTAGGGTTACTTATGAGTTCACACAAATATACAAAGCTAACTGGATTTTTTGAAGCTGATTGGGCAGCTTTTCTCAGTACTAGAAGGTCTGTGACAGGTTATTTGTTGAATTTTGGTGACTCCCTCATCTCCTGGAAATCTAAGAAACAAAATACAGTATCTCAAAGTTCTGCTGAGGCAGAATATAGGAGTCTAGCAACCTTGACTGCAAAGGTGGTTTGGGTAACTAGTTTGTTCAAAGAGTTATGTGTAAAACTGGAATCCTCAACCATAATACATTGTGATAGCAAAGCAGCTCTTCAGATTGCTGCTAATCGTGTGTTTCATGAGAGGACGAAGCACATCGAAATAGACTGCCACTTCATTCGTGAAAAGATATTACAAGGACTAATACGAACCAATTACATAATTTCCAAAGAGCAACATGCAGATATTTTAACAAAAACTCTTGGAAGAACTCAACATGATTTTTTTTTATCCAAGCTTGGATTATTGAATATCTTCAATATATCCAGCTTGAGGGGGA